AACAAAAATAAAACAGTTTCCCCCAAAATATCTTTAATATTTTTTTATCTATCAAATACTCTCTTGGAATCGAAACTAAGCGTGTGGTTGTATTATTTAGAGAGTACAGCATATCTTAATGAATTGTCTGCTGTTCTTTTTCTCTTCATTCGTAGTTTTATCTAAATAAAATGCAACAAAAACCACCGCCTGAATTCAATTACAATCATTTGACTACAAAAGTATGTATTCTAAAGATAAAAAAGGCTTTATTTCATCCAATCACTACATCAGATGAACAATATCAGAATTCACTTGAAGCAAAATTTACTCAAAAAGTTTTATATAAGAAGAAGGGAGTGGTTGATGCTTCCTTCAGCTGGATATTTAGGTATCCCGGCTAAGTATTATCAATTAACAGTAGTTACTTCTATTAATGTGTTTACTCTATATATTCCAAGAGAAAATGACAAAAATATACCACAGATTGGAAAACTTGTTTTATAATCGAATGATCAACAGAAACAGACCTTTATGTTTATCTAATAACAAAAGTTTATTATAATGCAAACTTTAGAATTATGTTTGTTTGCCATCTCCCCACTCAGGATTTAAAGCTTGAGGCGGTAGTTAGGAAAAACATCGTCAGAAAAATTTATTATCTTTGTAAAACACTTAAATTTCAAGAAGATATAAAAAGAAAAATAACTTCTACCAGGCGTTAGAAACGTTTTGACTCCGGCCGTTTAATACAGTAGGTCGGGATAATACAACAAAATAATTACATGTGTATTTAACTATGGCCTTTCACTGAACTTTTGTCAACTTTCTTCTACTGTGTAGCAATATACTATATTTATCTGAAGAGAGGGTGTATGTCTTTCGCTTGAGTGCATAAACGAGTGGATTCCTACACAATATCTGAATGGGAAGCAAACAGAAGCAATCTTTTACCAAACAAATTGATGAAGCAAGATTATAAGACTTGTTGAAAGTCATCATATTGCGAGTTCTTTAGTCCATTATTTATACACTGAATTGACGACAGGGTTTTTTCCACGTCATTTCTTGATTATGACAACGAGCACAAGGCGGGTGTGACCGGTCGGCAGGGATGCTCACTCCTCCATGGCACCTGATCCCACCTCTGATTTTTCGGAGGTCCGTGTTTGCTCTGCTCTTATTTTGTATATTGGTTAATGGACTTTTAGATTGAATACTGTTCGTTATCTCCATGTCCTTCTTGGTTGATAAAATGTCCTTGTCAGGAAAAATAACCTATCATTGTATCAAAACTGAGATATGGTTTTATACTAATTCTTTAGCCATTATTTTCAGTCTGATGTGCACAGGGATTTTCCTAAATTAATTAGGAGCACACAGATTCTCTGGTCGACACACGGACCTTGTCAGCAAAACCAATCTTTCATTTTGTGAAAACTGACAATTTTTCTCATGATTATTTTATGCCATCATTTTCACTCTGAAATTCTTAGGAATTTTCAAAACATTACGAGGAGAACACGGTGACTTTAAAATGTCCATATCGATTCCTTGCTTGTTGTATGTCTCACTTTTTTAATTGTATTTTGGAAGAATTTGAATTTAGTTCAAACTCTTTCAAAGGAAGATCTTCGCAACATTAAATTTCATTGTTTCTCTATTTTAATCAACTGGCAACTAATTGTTAGAAGAGTTCGATCTTCGCTTTGTTAAATTCATGGATTCCTAATTTTCATTTAAAAACCTTACAAAGATTTATTACTGAGTGCGAGAAATGCTGTATTCTTCTCTCCTTACAACCAACAATAGGGGCTGTCAAGGAGGAACTTTAGTCCAACAGTGTCACAGCATTAAGCATAGAAGCATAGAAGTGGATCATAAAGAGCAGAAGAACTTTCAAATTCTTTCAAAAGTCTCTATTAGCAACTCTGACTTTTACATTTTCTTCATTAATTCCTCAAAATAAATTAAAATCAAGACTTTTTGATATGATGAACCACAGCTGCATCAATAAAAGTGGAACCTTGAGATAAGTCATCAGTAGCACTGCTTCGTTAAGAGGACTCTAATCATTCAGACAAGTACTCTGCAGTTGAATATAAAAAGATGTGGCATTCTTCACTAACATCAGAAGTCTTCGGAGATCAAGTTCTTTCTCATGAAATGGTTCGAACTCTAAATGGTACTTGTTGTGTTTCTTTATAAGCGCGCCATTTTTATACAAGTATATAGTAGAATTTATTTAAAAACGTCTGTAGAACAAGAGAAAAAAAAACTCTTGCTGTGGCTTTAATTCAAAATTCACATATTCTGGTTATCGAAGATGTTTGAATTAATTTATAATATTGGATTATAGAAAGGTTCATTCTTATATCAACTCGATTTATCCCAGTCAACTCATTTCATTTGCTCTTATTATGTTCCCCAAACGAAGTTGGGGAACATATTGTTTTTACTCTGTTTCTTATTATTATTATTTTTCTTCTTCTTCTTCCTGGGTACTTTTTTGTCCGGGAATGATCTTGTAAACTGTTCATCCGATGTAGGTAAAACCTTTTTAGGGTTAGTAGACATGTTATGTAGATTTGCCTAGTCAAGGTCATTTTGCGCGCACGTGCTTGCAAGAGCGCGCACATGCAACACGAGAAATGATCAATATAATTGATATAGACTTACTTTCTCAATTTTTGATGAAATGCGTTGAAACTCATATTGTAATGATATATTAGTAGCATAGACAAGATGACATGGTCAAAATAGCAAGATCTCACGCGCATGCACGTGCGCTTTGCTCTGATTGGCTAAAACTAAAGTCTCAATATCTTTCTTGTTTTTTTGACGAAATCCTTTGAAATTTTGAACATAGTCATGTATTACGATATCTTACAACATGATATATAGCAATTATCATGAAAACACGTGTATGCACGTGCACTGCAATCTGATTGGCTGAAACTTTAAATAGCTATAACTCCCTTAGTTTTCAACCAAACTGGATTGGATTTGGAGCATAGAGATGTATAATTGACTTCTACAAGAAGGCATGATCACCATGCACATGCATGCATGCATGTGCGTGTACGTGCGCTGCAATCTGATTGGCTGAGATTTAGAACATAGATAGATGTAATGAAAAGCCTCCCCGAGAGCGAGAACAATAGGGACAGTAATTATCAGTAAATGTCAGCACATGTCTAAGTTTTTCAGCAGGGACAGTAAACGGGTCAGTAATTGTCTAAGTTTATCAGCACCGACTAAGATTGTCAGCACTTTTCAAAGTTTATCAGTACCGGCAGTAAAAAGGTCAGTAATTGTCTAAGTTTTACAGTAACGACAGCACATTGTCAGTAATTTTCTAAGTTTGTCAGTAAAAAATGGGAATGTCAGTACGTTTCTGACTTAGTAGTGTATATTCCTTAGCCTCATGAATTCGAAGCGTAACCGCCATGCAAGCCGATTTACACCTAGCGTCATTTTTTAAAATCTACGACGGACGGTTAGTACAACAATTTAAATTCGAAAATATTCAATTGTCTGTCTCAAATGTATATATAAGTAATAAATAACAAGTTTATAAACTTCAATGGGAATTGAAGTGGGTCGGTATTTGATCAAATCTTCTGAGAAGGCTTTCGGCCTTCACAGAATTTGATCACGTGACCGACCCACTTCATTTTAAAGTAATATGTACAATATTCTTAATATAATTATAAAACATGCATAGACTTATACGTATCACGAATAAACCCAACTGAAAACGGTGTATACATGAATAAACCCAACTGAAAACGGTATATACATGAATAAAGCATACTAAACAGTGTCCTATAATATTTTTTAAAAGATTCACTTCTTCCTAAAATGTCAAATCACGTGGAAGAGAGTTTATTCTGAACAATGTTGCTTTCTGAAGTTTGTGCAATGATTTTTGTTGTAAGGAGTTTTGATAAGACCGGAGAGATCCCGAATAGTCTCCACAGATTTGTTGACAGATTCCCAGTATTTGCCAAGAGATATCTCTGGGGAGATGAGGTACATGAGTCCCGTCATGATAGAGCAGCAGAGTCTGTAGATCCTGTAGAGATTGTTGTGACCTGACTGTGTTACCCAGTCTGTGGTGATTCAGTATTAACAACATGTGTAACATCACTAGAGGTGGGATAAATAATGAAGGACAGCTATTCTTCTCACTGATCATCTGCTCTAACACTAGTTCATCAATGTAACTATACTCACAAAGAAGCATGATATCTTTCACTTCAGCTCTCTTCATCTTAGTACACAGTGTATTCCTTTCCATGTAGTGTCTGTACATTTCTACATTAACATGATAATTATACATAACAAACGGTAATGACATCCTCTCCTGCGTTTTGTGTAAACAACTGAGTGAATCTTCGTATCTACGTGTTTTGTAGAAGTACAAAGCAAGATACAGAATGTCAGATAAACAACCAAACCTACACGACTGTTTTAGCAATGTAGTTACTTTTTTCATATAGAAAACCTTATTCCGGGTTTCATTTTGATTAATTCTACACTGTAAGAACATGGCAGTACACCGTACCACCTCTGATGTGATACATTGTAAAGAGACTGTTTCATACGATTTAAGACTTATCCCGATCATATTCCCTATCTGTTTCATGTACACTGCAAATTCCTCAATACGACTAATTTCTATATTAAAGACGTACAACACACTGGGGGAGATAACTCTTGCGATTTCAATTGAACGTTTGACGTGACGTCAAATTTAACGTCAAAAATAAAGCGTCAAAACGACGAGTAAAACGATCCCGATGTATATCAATCATAAAAGAAAAATGGGATATGGAGCTTGGCTGTGATCATGCGTACCATACTCAATCAATAAGTATTTTTTAATTAATAATTGTATTTTTAATCAAAGCGCAGCATTTTTTTTTAATTCTGAATATTTTATTTTACATTGCCGAAATTCTCATTATGTACAATCGGTTATATAACATTCCGATTAATGGTCTTCATTACAATTTGTGCATACACGATATAAATATTGTTTTTCTTCTTTAATTAAATAAAACAACAATAAATAAACAATCAACTTTTTACAATGTAAAATCCATGTTGTTCTCAGACCCTTACTGATCAAAGAGGAACAACTCTGAAAATGTAGATGTTTATTTTCCTCCCTTTATTCACGGTTTTCCACAGAATCAGATACATTTACAGCAAGACCTGATAAATCCGAGAATTGAATTCTATAGACCTCATATACACAATGTAAGTATAGAATTGAAAAGAATTGTTCACTTGTACTGAAATTATTTGCATTTATAAATATTCCATTGCAGCAAATCGTAACTTTGACTTTCTGTCAACAATGTCGGTTCGCATTTCCTCGAATCAAAACAAAACGTAGCCTATAAGATTTTAAAAAATATCAATGTGGGATTTGATATAAATTGAAATAGATGAAGAGTTTAATGTTTGATATTTTGAAGTTAATGTGGACGAATACGGAATTTTCATTTTAACTTTAGAAGCGACGACATTGAAAGAAATGCGTACAGTACAATATCATGAGGGGTGTATGTACATCTAATGCAAATGTCGATGTATCCCCACGGCCGCATACTGTCTCGTTTGAAATAATGACATATAAGAAACTACAATTATTCCATTTTTATCACAGGAGAGTTGAACATACACCATTTTCATAATGAATAAAATTAAAAATCAACATATTCAAGTTCAACAAAACTTGAATTCGTATCCAGGTTTCATGTGATATGGAATGCATAACGCATACGTATATGGACTAAACACTAAAATCTTTCAGTAATTTTTTCCTTATACATATAAAAAGAGTAGTCAATATTTATTCTGCATTCATGAATTTAAAAACTAATGCATACCCCCGGGATTCTTGACGAAATACTAGTATATTTGCACTGTAAACGACATTTCGTCAAACGCTAATGGTCTGCGACGCAAAAAAGGAAGGGGTGGGGGTGATAGGGGTATTCAAAAATTGCCTAAAAATCTACATTTAAATAAGCTTTACATATAAGAACTTTTAAATGTGTAAGTTAATGTATTTTTGAAGCAAAAGCAATATTCCAATTTAATTTTTTTAATGTGTATTTGTAGATTCATATAACAAAGTGATCGACCCCCGTCTGAAAGACGCACGGGAACGTGATTTATTGAGAAAGGGGGAGGGGGTAATTTTCCGCTATTAAATCAAAACTGGTCGTACAAAAATTATACAAAAAATTATGAAGATTGTTTTTACTACCAGCTACCTAAAGAAAGTTTTTTACCAAAATTAAACGACAGGTTTCTTCACAAAAAAATTTTGAATTCGAAAAATACGCAATTTTCAAGGCTTAGAAAATTCATAGTTTTTCAGTTTAAGGTCTTTAAAAATTGTTTTAATGATATGTATATAAAAAAGATGACCATGTTTTTGTGTTACATGGTTAAAGGAATAAGCCAATGAAATTTGACATTTATATCTAACCTGGTTTTATTGAAAATCAAGGTTTAAGTAGTTCATTGATTAAAAATTTTCTCTCCTTGTAAACAACTAAAGGGGGGTAACTTTCGGAAGTTCCTGTCCAAAAACCACTCGAACGATTTTGTCCAAAATATGCATACATGCAGTAGATATAGTCAAGTACTAAATATACAAAAATAACGAAAATTAAACGACAGGAATTTTTTTGGGGTAGGTGTGTTGTACATCCTTAAATGTATATAATTCTGTAAATAAGCTTATATCTAGTTCAGTGGTAGATATAATACTGTTCTCGTCTGTCTGGACTCTCAATGTTTTATATAATATGGCAATACTGAGGTAAGGTCGGATTTTTTCACTTAATAGCAGACATGATATCCCCTTACTATACAAATCATACAACTGATTGAACAATAAAATTTGTACAGAACCAGTGACTTTCACTCTAAACATGTTGTTTTGTGGAATAAAAAAGTTTGGACATTCCCCAGTATGTACCATGTATATCAATAATTTAAAGCTTTCCCAGAAACAAGTCAATAAGTTCTCAGGTGTCCAGGACAAAGACGTATTCTTCTGTATGACCCAAAAGACAATAGTTTTTATAAAATATGAGCAGAGAATGGATGTATTTGGCTGACAATTAATTACGTCTTTCAGAAAAACTTTGAAGAGACCATAACACAAAAACTGACAATGATTCATTGAATAAACAAGTTTTTGCTCTGCTTGAGAGAATGAAATTCTCCATTCTAGTTTGTTTTCAGGTGTGCTTCCGATCGGAACAATATGAAATCCTCCGCTTAATATTTCTGATACAACTGTTTGATTCGGCCATCTCCGTTCACGACATCTCTGTATCCATGGTATTGCTGACGTCGGCCAGTGATCTGACTTGAAACAGAAAGCATTGTCAGCATCTACATCTTGGAGTATGGAATAGGTAGAACAAGGTCCATGAAGGACAGCAGTAGAAATACCATAGGTATTTAAGAATCGCAAATAGTTTTCTCTGAATATTGTACTTGAAATATATGTACTGTCATTCATTACTACACAGGACGAAACGGTTTCTGCATTATTGGATTGGCTTAACAGGCTAAGTCTGGTAAAACCAGGCGGTAGATCATCACACTCCATCAGCATCACAGTGTGTTGTGGGATACGGTAGAGATTGATCTGAGAGATATCGCATATCACCTTGTGGTCTGGAGGCCATAACATCCAGTCAGAGTCGGAAGTTATCAATCTGAATCCCTCACGTTTACTCCCACTTTTCATTCTATCAAGTCTCTTCATGATGTACACAGGCTGACTCACGACCTCCATAGTGTCATTCACTTCTCTCCTGATCCTTACCTCTGTAGGACTCCCTACCCGACGACAAAGTCCCACGTACATCACTTCTGATAGGCGAGCTATGTGATTCATCCCGATATTTTATGAGAATCAAAAGATGCACGTCTGAAAATTAAATGATTTCATACATAATTTTTGTCCTTTTAATTTTTTCAATATATAGAAAGAGGTGCTTATTTATGAATCATTGTTTTAATTGAGTTTTGTTTTGTTTTCACTATGCAATATATGGAGATAACAAAGAGCTCAAAAAATGGAAGGTTATCAATCTTTGTAACAGATACGAACACATTACTTTAATGAATAAACCGTATTTTATTTTATATTGAGATAGAATAGAATATTATAAAATAATATATCTAAGCTTTAGTTTTGTAAACACTTTATAATTAGTTACATGTAACAAAACAATGAGCACAATACGAACAGTTGACAAAATCTACAGAAGCAAGTAGATTAAGTGACAGGGTAATGGTAGGGAATGCTTTTAAGAGGCAGTCCACCGAAAAACCAGGCAGTATTGTATTGATAGGCGGCACATCGAATGTGACGAATATATGATATTTTATTGAAAACAATATCAATGTAGTCCAAATGGAATAATGTAATCGAAGATTTGTTTGAAAATTACTTATTTAGTAAAATATCCGTTTCTTTCGTGTAATTGAGTTCCCCTATGTAAACCATTAAATTTAGGTCAGAAACAAAGAACTGTAACTTCCAATACAGTTTTAACAGGACTATAATTCACGCTGAACTAAATCAAGAAATATGTCATCTTTCTTTTTCAAAAATAAAATCGGTGGGAAAAACACTTGTGAATTAGTTTTCTGGCAAAATATATAGACGTTTTTATGAAATTTTGCAGTGCAAGAGTTATCTCCCGTGGCATCGGTAAATCTGCTAAACGCCTTACTATCGGAATCCTAGTTTAAAAAAAATAGACTCGATACACTAAAGAAAATTATAAAACAAAAAATAATTACTTTATTTTCAAAATAGAGCTAATTTACGCCTGCAAACATAATATTTGGATAAAAATGGGCTGTATTATTCAGGATGAATCCACGTTTCCATTGATGTATCAGTGACGTCATATACCTGACTAATACTGCGTCACAATCAAATAGTTACAAGACTTCCAGAAAAGTTATGTAAATTCTTTGCGTAAACGTGCAAAGAAAAATAATTAAAAATAAGTTATTTCTCCTTTTCTGTTCAGTTACTCTACACATTGCAATATCCAAAATTTTAAATAATTTTTTTTTTATTTCATACATTTTTTTAATACTAGGATATGCACAAAAATAATTAATTTTTATAGTGTTTTTATTGAACATTTCTTATTTATTGGGATGTGAAAGTTTTATACTTCTGATAATCAAGGAATCGTGAATATTTTAGATTTACGCAAAATTTAATTTAACGAAGTTGAGATGTTTACTTCATGATATTTGTAAAATCTTTAATATATTTATCTATGCAGTCAAATAAAAATAAACAAGCAGCGGTACACGTAAAAATATAAAACAAAAAACCCTGAAAAATAAGTTAAAATAATATTTATTGCGGAAGATTACTGCTGAGCTCCCAACTCCAATTTGAAACTAAAACGGAAGATGGTTCAGTGAAACGTTTCTGTTTTTTTTTATTATTATTTTTTTTAATATAATTTGGAGATCAAAATAATTACATACTCACGTTTAATATGGAGTTAAGATATGTAGCTATCTTGGCCAATTCTAAAATGTTTTCATATTCATGAAACCTGTTTTTGAAAAAAAAAAATGATGCCATGATGCCGCCCCTCCCCTCCCCCCTTTTGCATTTTGCTTGCGATTTATGGGCTCTTAATTAATGATGTATATGAAAAAATTTCTTTTATTTACATAAAAAAAATTTGTAAAAGAAGAATATATAGGTGAAAAGTATTAACAGATGACAGGTTGAAAAAACTTGGATAAACCCGAGTCTATACACATAAAAATATTTTCTGTATTTACACTGTAGGTACGTACAAGAATAATTTCGCCACTAACTCCTTATTAATTCCTGAGAAAATATTAATAAAAGAAAAAAAAATTACTTTGAAAGAAGATACTTAATGAAGCTAAGCTGTCTTTTCTGAGTTGCAACATAATGCATGTACAAACACTTATTTAATTGCCGAGTATCAAGAAATCAAAGATGTTTTACATGTACACGGTAATCATCACTGTAATCATGTACGTAAAAGACATGAGGAATTTAGATAATTATATACATTTGAATATATGGACAAAATCATTTAAAACATTTTACTGAATGAAAAGAAACAGACAGGCATATAATTTCTCTGATAAATTAAAAGGAAGAACCAAGTTTACGAAATATTCCTAAAAACCATACCCGATTGAAATACAACCGATCCCGATCGAAAATAATTCAAAATATATAAAGTTGATAAACTAAAGGCAAATGCCACTTATAAGACATGGATAAAAATAAATAAAGTTAATTTTGAACTATATAACAACAAAAGAGTCAAATTTAACAATACAATTATAGTATTTTCTTCTTTATATAATTCCGATCGGGATCGGTTTAATTTGGGAAAAATCATAGATAGTAGGTGAATTTGAATCCTCTTATTTCCCTCAATATACTTGTTCCCATCAATTTTATGAAGTGACTCAAAAGTTTGTCCTTTGTATTCATATTAACATGAGGAAAAAAATTTGTCATAGTAATGTATTGGCTTTTATAACGTATCAAAATTCGGATACTGAATTCAAAAAGTGACTTGCTAAACTCAAGTTTGGACCACATATTTTTTTCTAAAGAAATATAATTTGGAGTCTTATTCATTAAGAAATAAAAGATAGGAGTCTATGCTATAGATAATATTGATTGACACACCCAGCTTTTAAGTATTTCTTACAAATAAAACAAAATAAAAACGTAGTATTTTTTTTACCCTTATGTTGACCTTTTTGCACTTAAAATTAGACATTTACCAAAAATAGGACTAGAGGACCACTAAAAAAATTTTTGATGTTGCCATGTATTAACACTTGCTTGAATAAGTTTACATGCAAAAAATAATAAAAATCCATGACATGCGATGTGCCACCTATTGCCTGGTTTTTCGGTGGACAGCCTCTTAAGAGATACATGAATTATTAGGAGATAAAGATCAATATTATTTAAGGAATGCATGCACTGAGGTGGTGAAAAACCTATTTCATCTTTTAAGTCTGTCAATTAGTAGACTAACATCTTTACAAATATATAATAAAACACTACCTACTGATACCTGTTTCCTAAACGTCCTGATAAGATATCTTTTTTTTTTTCAAATGGAAATATTCAACCTTAAATTTACTTTCGGTTTGTATTATTCAACCCTTTACCTGTACGCTATTTCTGGAAATCAATAACAAATCTACGAAAGCCCAGAAGGCTCATTCGAGATTCGAGTTTTCAAATACGAGATTCAAAATTCGAAATTCGAGATTCAAAATTCGAGTTTCGAGATTCAAGATCCAAACGAACCAATCAAAAGCGGGTTCAACATTTGATTACTTCCCTTTATTATGTTTTTAATATAAAAAAAAAATAAATATAATAATATCAAAGGGGTCATTTAATTAAATTACAATGCAAGAAAAAGTGTTATATATATTAGAAGGAAATTTAAATAACTAATGGATTTTTGAACAGCAAAAAATATTTTAATTTATATTATAGATTGAGTAGATTCTTAAATATTAAATAAATTACATTTATCAGGAGTATATATATTTTTGTATTGTCTACTTAACTTAATTTTCATGCATTTTCTCTGTCAGAAAAATCACAGGTACTTTTGGACAGGAACCCCCCCCCCCCCCCCTCCCCAATCGATTTGAAACCCTAGGGCTTATTGAACATTTTTTTCACAAGATATATTTTTTAAACTTATTCATCATGTCTACAATAACAAAAAATTGTAAAATCCCCAGAAGAATCGCTCAACAACCCCCCCCCCCCCAATATCCACTATATATTATCAGAGAAAGATATGCCACTCCAGTCTGTTTACGTTGTATCCCCACTGGTATTAAATGCATTTATTTTGTTTTAACTTTAAATGTCGATTCACACTGTCTCTACATATACAATATATATTTCTGTCTTAGTCTATGCTATCGGACAGACTCTGCATCACGTAATAATCCCACATTTTCTCCGTAAACAGCATTGAATTTCTTTCTTGTAAGGTGGGGTAATAAATAGTGGGTTTTTTTGTTAATTTGGTTGAGCGACTATTCTGGGGTTTTTAGGCCAGCGATTTTTTCGTATTTTAAGGTACCATATTTACCTGAAGATAGGGTGTATGTCTTTCGCTTGAGTGCATAAGCGAGAGGATTCCTAAATAATATCTGAATTGGAAGCAAACAGAAGCAATCTTTTGCCAAACAAATTGACGAAGCAAGATTATGAGACTTGTTGAAAGTCATCATATTGGGAGTTCTTTAGTCCATTATTTATACAATGAATTGACGACGGAGTTTTCCCCCGTTATTTCCTGTTATGACAACGAGCACACGGCGGGTTTGACCGGTCGGCAGGGGATGCTCACTCCTCCATGGCACCTGATCCCACCTCTGATGTTTCGGAGGTCCGTGTTTGCTCTGCTCTTATTTTGTATATTGGTAAATGGACTTTGAGATTGAATACTGTTCGTTATCTCCATGTCCTTCTTGGTCGATAAAATGTCCTTGTCAGGAAAAATAATCTATCATTGTATCAAAACTGAGATATGGTTTTATACTAAATCTTAGGCCATTATTTTCAGTCTGATGTGCACAGGGATTTTCCTAAATTAATCAGGAGCACACAGATTCTCTGGTCGACACACGGACCTTGTCAGCAAAACCAATCTATCATTTTGTGAAAACTGACAATTTTTGGCATGATTATTTTATGCCATCATTTTCACTTTGAAATTCTTAGGAATTTTCAAAACATTACAAGGAGAACACGGTGACTTTAAAAGGTCCAAATGGATTCTTGTATTTTGGAAGAATTTGAATTTAGTTCAAACTCTTTCAAAGGAAGATTTTCGCAACATTAAATTTCATTGTTTCTCTATTTTAATCAACTGGCAACTAATTGTTAGAAGAGTTCTATCTTCGCTTTGTTATG